ATCAAATGGAAACCATTTTAATGTGTGCACCTTTATAGCATATAGGCATGTATATTACAATACTGCATTAAAATAATGTAATAGGCCGGGCTCGGTGGCTCAGCCTGTAATCCCGCGCTTTGGGAGGCCGAGGTGAGTGGATTGCCTGAGCCCACGGGTTCGAGACCCGCCTGGGCAACTTGGCGAGACCTCATCTCTACAATAAATTAAAAATTAGCCGGGCGTGGTAGCGTGTGCCTGTAGTTCCAGCTACTTGGAAGACTGAGGCGGAAGGATCGCCGGAGCCCAGCAGGTCGAGGCTGCGGTGGCCGGGAGCGGCCACTGCACCCCGGTCTGGGTGACTGAGTGAGACTTCGACTCAAAAAAAAAAAGTAAAATTATGTAATAATTGACCTTCTTATAAGGACGTTACAAGAACACCATGATTCTGTGTGTAATACTATGGACGTATCTGGGAGTAACTTACATTTGAACAATACTTTTCTAAAAATAAGGGCTGGCTGGGCTCAGTGGTTCAGTCTGTAACCCCAACACTTTGGAAGGCCAAGGCAAGTGGACTGCCTGAGCTGGCAGGTTCAAGACCATCCCCGGCAACTTGGCGAACCTCGTCTCTATAATAGAGTCAAAAATTGACCGGGCATGGCAGGGTGCCCCTGTAGTTCTGGCTACTTGGAAGGCTGAGGCGAAAGGTTTGCCGGAGCCCAGCAGATGGACACTGAGGTGGTCGTGAATGTGCCACAGTTCTCCAGCCTGGGCGACAGAGTGAGACTCCAAATTCAAAAAAGATAAATAAATAAAATAAGGACTTACTTTCACACAATTTGTTCTTTTTTTAATTCTTTTTTTACTATAAAGATGTGGGGTACAATTCAGGGTTAGGTATACAAACGTTGATTATGCAGGTACCCTTGTTGATGAGGTGTGCCTCTCCTTCCCCTAGCAGTTTCCCTCAACTGGCAGTCCCACCCCCGTCCCCTGACAGTTTCCCACTACATATACACAATGGAATTTTTTTTATGCTTTTGTGGGGTACAGTTAAGGGTTAGGTATACAATTACATTTCATTCAGGCACCCTGTTGATATGAGGTGTTTTGTTTCCCTGTTCCCAGACAGATATTTGCTACTGTTAATCCCATCTCCCTCCCCCCCCCCATAGTTTCCCAGTACTGTCAGTCATTTTCTTATAGTACACAATGGAATATTATGCAGCCATAAAGAAGGACATACAAATTTGTTCTTAAATGTATACATATCCACTTCCTAAAAATTTTTTGAAGTATATAGAGACCAGTATTATAAATACTATCTAAAGAAAAGAGTTATGTTTATCGGATTTGTAGCATTCTGTTTCAGGTATAGCTTTGTTTTCCTATTTACAAAACTATTTAACTAGATCTGGGCACTTAAGGCATTGTACATGCCCAGGCCCAGTGCTGCATCTCCAGACGCCAAGAATATGCTTGGAAGTACCATGAAAGAATCATTTCCTGCCTGGACAGTTATCTACAGCAGAGACACTATCCTGACTCTCAACATTCCTTAGAGTTTTTCCCATGTAGACCTTGAGATAGAATTTATAATACCTTTTTAAAAAATCAAAATTTTAAAGAATTGAAATATGATTAATATAAGATAAAATGCATAGATCTTAAGTGTTCAGCTAAATGTGTTTTGGCAAATACATACACTTGTGTATCCACACCAAAAACAAGACACAGGATATTTTCTTTACCCAAAAATGTTTCTGCTTCCCCTTTTCCAATACATTATACTTTCAACCATCCTCAAATCATATATTTTCTGATTTATGTCACTATGGATTATTTTGGTCTGTACTTGGACTCAATTTGAATAAATTCATCTAGTAGGAACTATTTTGTATCTGGCTTCCTTGACCTAAGATAATTTTGTGAGATTCATGCATGTTATGTGTATCAGTAGTTTATTCTTTTTATTGATGAGTATATTGTGTTTATGGACATACAATAGTTTGTTCATTGGCTGCTGTTAATAGACTTTGTGTTGTTTCCAGTTGTGGCTATTATGAATGAGACTACTCTGAACATTCTTGTACAAGTCTTCTTCTGATTATCTGTGTATATTTCTCTTTAGAAAATACCAAAAAGTAGAATGCCTATTTACAGGGTAGATTTATAATTAACTTTCTTAAAAACTACCCTTAAATTTCCATTGTAGTAATACCATTGAGTACTCTCACTAACAATGTTTGGAAATGGAAGTTAAGTGCTCATGATTATTTTTATTTTTATTTTTTCTTATGCAAGAAATTTTAGAGTGGTAAATCCCAAGTGTTTAATATACTGAATTAGAAAACAGAATGAATCTTAAAACAAGCCATAGTCCAAATGCTTATCTCTCACATTATATCTGGTGTATTTTAAATCCTACTTTTCTGGTGTATAAAGCACCCTGTGGGCATATGTTAGAGTTTTACGTGGATTTCTGTATGTGATGGAGTTTAACTCATATTTTGAGAGAACAAGATCCAATGTACCCTACGGTATTATCCACTCACTTATACTTTCTGTTCACATAATAGGAGAAAACATTATATTGAAGAGCATTTTGTGTTTCCTTCCTGGTACTTTTATAGTACTGTCTTGGGTGGGTCCTCACAAAGTTAAGCAAATGATGCCGCTGGTGGTATTTGTCAGTATTTCACACTTTATATTAATTTATTTAGACTCTAAAAGATTTAATATCTCACTTTGCTTTTTCTTAAATGTATAAAGTTCAATCACTTTTAGTAAGATTTTCTTTTATTTCCTGTTTAATTTAAATAAGTACAGAAACTCCATTTGATTGGATAGTAGTTATATGTGGTTTTTTTATTAAACTGTTGAATTAGATATCAAGGACTAGATAATGAGAAATATGACTAAGGTTTTTCTATAATTATTACAGGAAAAGTGACATCACATGTATATAAAAAATACACAAACTCAATGCACTTGTGAGAAAAGGGTGACCATCATTTTCAGATTATTTTTCACTGAAACTGTACTGTTCCCATTGTGATTTCACCCTCTTTCCGAGAATTCAGGAGTGACCTTATAATCTGAGAATATTTGCTACTGCAAAACCATGTATTATTATTATTTATTTTATTTTAAAGTTGTGGGGAACAATTCAGGGTTAGATACATAAATGGCAATCATACAGGTGAAGTCTGGTCCTCCCATTGTTCCTCATTTCACTTGGTTTGGTTTCAGGTACCCTTATTAGAGTTATGTGTCCCACTTCCTCCCCTGGCTGTACATGATGGAATATTATGAAGCCATAAAGAATGACAAAATTATGGACTTCATAGCAACTTGGGTGGATTTAGAGTCCATCATATTCAGTGATTTATCGCAGAAACAAAGTCCTGAGTACCATATGCTCTCACTCATAAGTGAACCCTGAACATTCATCATATTACTACATGAAACCATGAATTATTTTAAAATTTGTTCTAAGCTTACATTCACTGCGTTATGAAATTGAATAGCTTGTTGGAGGACTCTACATTATGGAATAAAAAATAACATTATGTTAGATCTTGAATTCTGTGAATACTTATATTTAATGGTAATTACGAAAACTCATACTTTTCAAGGTAATTGTCAACTATAGACAACAATAGCTACCCATTCGTAATAGCATTTGGGCTATGATGATCAGAAACAACACTTTGTTAAAGTGGGTTTCAAAATCTGTGCATATGGCTTACTATTTAAATACCAGTATCCTCATTTTTGTTACAACATCCATAAGCTCTAAAGCAGAGAAAAATAAATATTTTATCCCCAAATCTCTCTGATAATTTTTGATGTGATATAGACATTGTTTAAGAAAAGGAGAACTTGTATAGAGTAAGTATAAAGAAAATTCCTCTTTTGGATAGAACGTAGTGACATGCTTAGTAAAGAGAAGCAAAGGAAGATTTTTAAAAATAGTAAAAAGCTGAATGAAGAGAAAATATTCCCAACATATTCTGTTGTGACATCCACTAGGAAGCCTACTTTTTAAAAATTTATTTATATGGATTTGGAGTACAAGTGCAATTGTGTTAACATGGATATGTTGCATATTGATGAAATGTGGGCTTTTAGTCTGTCCATTACCCAAATAGTATACCTGAATAGGCATTTCATCCCTCACCCCCCCCGCTACTCTCCCACCTTTGGAGTCTCCAATGTCTATTATTCCACTCTGTAGGTTCCCATGTACCCATTGTTTAGCTCGCACTTATAAGTGAGAACATGTGGTTTTTGATTTTCTGTTTCTGATTTATTTTAGATAATGAAAGCCCAAGTAAGTATTCAGCCTCCAAGATTATGGTAGACTACCTTGGAACCACTCTATTCAGAAAGATATAGCACAAGAGCCATTGCTCCTGGCAGGAGTCAGCAGACAGCATTCATTAGATTGTCCTCCTAACACTCTATACAACAATCCACAGTGCCCTCCTGGAACTGTGGTCTTTGATCCCTCACCTCCCTTTGGCCCTCCAACCCCCAGGTGACAGCTCAGGTGAGAGGGATCAAGATTCACATTGGGTGAGGGCAAAAGCCATTCTGGCTTAAAAGCTTCATATCCACAGGAGCCAATATTTCTTTTATCAACCTCACAAGCAAAGCTTGCAAGATCTCCACAAGGGATATGTTTATATATAAGAGTTACTGCACTCAGGAAAACCAATATTATAGTTTCCAATTAGGTATTTAAAATTCTCTCAGTCCAAATGCAATCTATCAACCAAAGTTCATTTTTACCATAAGCAATGTTGCTTAGCAACATAGTTACCACATACCACTTATCTGGTTACCAAGGAAACCAAGCTATAAAGTTATCAAAAGGTCAAATTTCATGCAAAAAGGGATGGGGTTCTGTTAACCCATTACCCATATTTGATCTCATCCAGAAATATATGAAATTATATTGAATTTATGATTTGGGATATGAATATGATATAGTTCTGTTTGATTTTTTTTAGAGCTAATGTACACAGTGGAACTTGCTGGAGGGCTTGGTGCAATCCTCTTGCTGCTTGTTTGTTTGGTGACCATCTACAAGTGTTACAAGATAGAAATCATGCTCTTCTACAGGAATCATTTTGGAGCTGAAGAGCTCGATGGAGGTAAGATGAGTTACTTTTTATTGTTCTTTCTGAATATTCTTATTTGTTTCTTGCCTTTGTTTTACTGAGAGAAAGAAACTACCTGCATAGTCTCTGCCAACAGCTCTTATAATCTGTCAATGTTCAATGTGAAAATTCATCTTTTATATGGAAATATACATGTGATGGTTTTGGAGCCAATACTATATGTATTTTCCTCTGAATATTTTAAAGCTACACCCACCTTTTTTAGAATTGCATTTCAAACAGCACTTATGAATTATAAACACTGATTGCAATACCATCAGAGTGTTCATTTTATCTCACCTTGTAATCAAGACTAAAAGATCAGTTTTATTTTTCTATAGGTAAGGAGTGTCTCTTTTAATTGTGTTTCCTAGACCAGTAGTTTGAAGTGAATTTCAATTTGTTCCTATTTAGACTGATCAGTTATAATAAATTGTACTGAGTATTTTAGAATTCATTCAGCAATCGTTTCAATCTTGCTTATTTATCTATATTTAGATAGCCTAATTTTTATTCCAAGTGTGAAACAACAGATGAAAAAGTACACAGGTACATTGTTTTCATAATAATGCCTCTAATATTTTTACTCAAATTAGATAAGCAAATATTGTTTTATGGAAATCATAATTATCATTTGCTTTTGGTCATCCATAAATATGTACACAATCTAAGAGGATTTGGGGGTTCTTACAATTGAGGTGCCTAAACTGCCCATTAGAGGACTTATTTTTTGTTTTTTGGCGTTTCTTCCCTTTTTGGTCATTTGAAAAGAACATAAGATAAACTTGCAATATAAGAAGCATATGCAAACTGATAGTGAAGAGTACAGATGACCAAGGTTTATTGGTCAAATTTATATACTTTTTTTCACTGACTGCCGATTTTGTACAAAATGGTCAAAAGAAAATGAAGCAATTGCCCATGTTGCCACATTTCCAGAGTCCTCAGGAATAAATCCACAGGCAAAACTGTCGGTTGTCAGATTTGTGAAGAGAAGTTCAGCCTGCCTTACACTCCCACTAAGGGACAACCCAATTGTTTTGTTTTGTTTTTTCAGTTTTTAAAAGTTAAAGAACTTATTTGTCCTTTGTTTCTAACTTTTTTGGCTATTAATACAAATTATTTTTCTTTGCCTCTGTTTTTTGGTTTTCTTTTTCTTTTTCTTTTCTTTTCTTTCTTTTTTCTTTTTTTTCTTTGGCCCCTGCTTTAAAGAAATAAAAAGAAAACTTGTCATTGTCAGAGCTATGGTTGGATGAGTACCAAGCAGAGTGCTAGGCATCCTTAAAGTCATTTATGCTAAAGCCTCACGAAAATCTTGAGGTCAATATTATAATCTCTATTTTACTGATAAGGCAAATGATGCTCCCAGAGGTTAAATTACTCACTCAAAAAGATAACACATGTATAATAAGTGACCAAGATGGAATTTTAAAGTAAGTCTATTTCCAAAGTCTTCATTTTACTGAACATAGGGTCTTTATTACTTTTCTTCTTTAAACAATTTAGTATATTCAGTGTGATCTAAAGATCTGATGCTGTTTGCATAATGAGCACAGTAAAAAATATTTGGAAAAGCGGATTGCCAAAACAAGTCCCACTTTATCTACTAACCTTATTTTGAATATGTAGATTTTGTTTTCTGAAGGATATGAATGATTTTACCCAAACCACCAATTTCCAGTGCAGTTTTTAACTGTCATTTTCTGAGCGTAGAAAATGATGAAATATAATGACAAAAGTATGAGTCATACAGTCATACAGTCATGCAGTTGAACTTTCAGTGACTTGAAGTTTCTTTTAAAGATCTTGCTAAATGTAAACACTTCAGTGGGTTACTTGGGTAACCTTACTGAATTCCGTTGCTAGTCTGAAGCTGTTAGGTACTTAGGTTTGTTTATTTATTTGTTTGTTTATTTTAGAGTTGTGGGGTACAAGTGGGGATGTGATACATAAGTAGGCAGCATGCAAGTGAAGTTTGGGTTTCTAGCTGGCCCTTACTCCTCCTGGTAGCGGACCATGTACCCATGGTGTTGTCACGTACTCCTTTCTCTCTTCCTTCTCTCCCTCCCTTAACAGTGTCCAGCATCTGCTGATTCCACCCTTCTGCTTATATGACTAATGTTCAGGCCCACTTATGACTGAAAACATGAGGTTTTCTGTTCTTTGTTTTTGTAATAGCTCCCTTAGTATGATTGTGTCCAACTGCATCCAAATTGCTACAAAATCCATGATTTTGTTCCTCTTTATGGTTGCACGGTATGCCATTGTGTTTGGGTGCCACTTTTTTTTTTTTTTTTTTGGCAAGTTCACTTTCAATGTGCAGCAGGTTTTTTATTCAAGTGTTTAAAGTAAAAAAAAAAAAAAAGACACATCATAACAAATATTATCCCAACAGATGAGAGGTTCTCATGGAAAGATAATTTAGTTAATAAATGTCTTAGAAATAGTTAGAACTCTGTCTCTAGGGCCATCTTAAACACAACCAAGAATCTAACTATCAATGCTTTCATTGAGATGCCACTGTGTATGCATTAGGTACAAAAAAAATAACAAATTTAATTATCATCTGGATAATGTTGATGTACAAACTACTCCCCTAAAAAGGAAAAAAAAATAAAGACCGCCAAGTTAGTAATTTTTCAAGTGGTTTTATGGAAAGGATTTTTACTAGAAGTGAGACCACATGCACAGTCTCCCTATATTAAAGCAGACTTGTTCTTGCTGAAATGATGTTCATGAGGCCCGCCTTAACTTCTGTCTCCTGCTTCATGTCATCTAACCTCTAGAACTTCTAGAAATACTGTTTCATTGGAAACATACTACAGTCATAGTAATATAGCAAATTTAAAATCCATATCTTAACAAAAGTTAGAAGTATATAAATGCAACTTTCTTTACTTCTCTAATACTCGAAAACTTTTCTACATGGCTCTAAAGTTTCTTTTCCCACTGATGGCAAAAAACTCATAACCTTGTCACTCCAAGGTAATTCAGTCACTTCTGATTTGGAATTCAGCTTCTTGTGGGTTAACACTCAGTTGAAAATTGCAGTGTTTCATTTCTCCTCTTTCCAAGCAATCTGCTTCCAGAGAACTCATGTATAGATTTCTGAAAAAAGGAAAAGTCACCTGGTACATATGACATACCTTTCTTACTTGGGATACTACCGCCTGGTCTTTAGACATATTGAGCACTGGGTTACTCAAGACCAAGTTCCTTGCCATGGCTTCCAACTGTAAACTTCACAAAACTTGTCCATAATGTTCTCCTTTGAAAATTTCAGACATTCCTATTTGTGTTTCCAGCACCATAAACTCTGCTACACTCATACCCACCTCCCCATTAAAAAAGAAACAGTCATCTCCTTCACTCATGGCTTCTTTTACATGCAGGTCCCACGATGGGTGCAGGCTTTTTCTGCAAAGCTTGCAGTTTTCCAGGATCTTTCCTAGAAGAAAGAACACAAATTCTTGGTTTTTTCAGATTCTACCTCAGACCATATGGGGTTCTGTTATCCATTTGCCCTCCTTGGGGACCTGGCGATCCCTTTTTAGAAACCCAGGTAGCCTCAAAACCTTAGTCACATTCCCTTAGATCCTTCTAAGGGATCTTATGATTGAACAATTATCTGTTCTTCCAATGGTGGAAAACTTCGACACTATAAAATCCCCATGCTTTCTAACTCTCCTACAAGTCTTTTCCTCTTCCAATAAGGGATGACTGTTAAGAGAAACTTCAGGGTTTTTTAAAGTATTATTATTATCATTGTTATTATTATTATTATTATTATTATCTTGACTTTATAAAATGTGAATTAGAAGTCAAAGCTGAGCAATGCCTTTTTTATTATTGGCCACCATATTTACATTCCTGAACGGGGAATTCATAAAATACTCCTGGAAATAAGGAAAGACAAATACTGTGAAGAAGAACAGGAGGGCAACAAAAGGTTTAGCTCATATTTTGAAGTAATGTCCTATTATAGAATATGATAATAAAAGATTCATTGACCATGTATTGAATAAAAAGTGTTGTATTGACTACTTTATTGATAATCAGAGAATTGTATGTCTAGAAAGAATTTAGTTCAGGTCAAAATGACTCTAAATTCCAGGAATTACAGTCATTTTATCAGACTGGAAGATGGAGTGTCTAGCATAAGGGACACATTCAACCCGTTCCTTTCAAGTCATTACAATAGGCATTACTTGACAATATTAGTTCTATACCAGGGAAATACGAATTTTGACATAGAAAAATTCTAAGATTTTCCAAGATAGAAACTGTTGATGCTTTGCTCCCTTGGTTTGTTCTCATCACTTCTTGTTCCCCTTTACATAACCTTACATTTTATCATCTCTGAATTCAAGCCTTAGTGTTTTTCTTCTAACGCCACAACTACACTCATTCATTGAAATCCTCCATTTTGTACCTCAGTTCCTTATATCATTCTCTGCCTCATTGGCCATATTTTCTTCTCTCCAGTCATTTAGTCATCAAGGTTAGTCAAATTACACCTCTTGAAAATAAATATCTTCCTTACTCTTAACTGCAGTTGCCTTGTTCAAGCCTCCTACACTGACCTCTTGCTTTCATTCTCTAATTGTCTATTTTATCCTTCACGGTCTAACCAAATTATCTTTCTAAGGACAAATTTACTATGATTCTTTTTAAAAAAAAAAAAACCTCCATTTTGCCTTCCAAAGCAAGACCATGTTTCTTAGCTCAGAATGCAATAGCTGTCAAAGGGTAGCCCACCTTATTTTTGCAGCATTGCCACCCCCATGAAACCTGAACATGCAGAGTTCTAGTAAGAATAAGATGCTGGTCTTTGGAAAAGCACAGCTTTTGAGAGCTGATCTAAGACAATGTAATCATGCATAATTCTCAGGTTTATTGAGGGAAGTGAGGTAACCATAATGGCTGAAGGTAGGAGAAGATTAGCTTCTCCCCTAACACATTGATTCCACAATAAAATGAAAGAAAATTTGGCC